CTCTGCAAAGCAATCAGGGTGAGAAGCTGACATGACTCAGCCTTCTTCCTCTTCAGCGTTGGAGAGATGAAAAGAGGAGTCATCGTTTGGTCAGCCGACTTACCGGATTTCTGGAGGGGGGGTGGGGACGTGGTTTTGATGCCGTGGAAGGGGAGAGCGTGGGGAGGGGGCTTGCGCATGCCTCCTTTACAACTGTACACGACGCCTCTCAGCAGAGAGGTTCAATTATTCAGTTCCCCGTCACTCTGCAGGAATGCAGGCTGGGATTCCTGTGCTGTGACTCGTGACCTTTCACCTGCCATCCCCATATGGATACTATTTCATCCTTCCTTTCTCTCTTGGCCTGGGAATTTCCCAGATTGTGTGGTTTGGCTCTCGAGGAGGAAGTTATACTGCATAGCATTGTTACTTCATGCTGAGTTTAGTTTAATAAAAAAAAAAATAAAATAAAAATTCCCAGTTTTATTAAAGCTCTTTTTAATAAAAAATAAAATAAAAAACAAAGTACTTATCAGAGCAAGCAAAGCAATCATGGTCCAAACAAATCATATGTGTGTGGCGGTAATGAAGCTGCTCCCTGTGTGCATTTGCGAGCTCAAAGTTGCCATGTCACGCTGGGTGTGTGCAACGTGTGTGAGAAACGACGGGCAACGGTAAATCTGGGTGTTTCACTTGTGAGAGAGCGCATTAGCGAAACCTCGCATGTTGACTGCTGACATCTCCCACACTGACACGGGTACGAACACGGCGCTCGGCGTCTCCGTGTGTGTTTACTTCAGCCCACGGTGACTCAGAGTTCCGATAATGACTGTGGCAGAGCGGCAGATGAAAGGCTCGCCCTGACTGTAGACGGCAGAGAGAAACAGGAGTGAGGGCTGAGCTCCTCAGAACCTCCCCTGATGAAACGCATCCTGGTCTGAGGCACAAGCTGTAAAGTCCATTACAGGATCTTCCGGCGCGTGGAGCAGGACACGGCACCAGGTCCGACCGGAAGCATCACGAGGAAGAGAACTGCGCATCGTCTGGCAGGGGATGGTTCACTTGCAACAGGTTCGTATTTTAGAGTCGTTCATCTGTTTCATTTTCCCCCATGAATCAATTTACGTCTTTGCATGTCTTTAAATGTCACGGTTTGACTTTAGATCATTTTTGAACAGTCGCTTTGTAACGTGGTGAATCAAAAAGCTCTGGATGGTCAGAGAGAAGTTCAATGTTTAAATGCATTGAGCCCGACTATGTTTCTGATCCCAACAAGAATTTTGACATTAATAACTCTATCAGTAGTCAGTCGAATCTGCTCTAAAGATAGTAGGAAAGACAATACTACTGAAATTAGAAGGTCTCCTTTCTCTCAACTGCTATTATAATTATATATATTTATTTTTTTTTATCTATAATTTCTTTTAATGATGACCTTTGTGTTTCACTTCAACACACCCGGAGGCTGCATGAAGCATGCATAAGTAACTTGAAAAAGCCCATTATGTCATTTAAGCCCATGTGAGATAAAATCTTTCACTTTGCCTCACTGCTGATTTCAGACAAGGTGATAAGACTCCAGACTATTAAATGACTTACTGGCACTTGAAATCCCCTTTTACTCATAGCATCAAATTAAGTGACATTTCTACTTCCTGGTATAACTAATCCTTTTACTTTGTCTCTGTTTGCACAACGACTTGTAAGTGATTCTGAGTCATTTGTCAAAAAAAAAAGACTTGTCAAGGAAATCATGGAATCAGTGCTGTTTAGTTGGTAAATGACACTTGTTCTAATTAACGCTGTATCAAGTACATGTCAATGTTTTTTTTTTTACTGACTAGGTGTGTAATCCCTGTGGTGCCATGGTTGACTTGGACCAAAACCAGACATTCCTGACATTTAGGGGCCCTGAGATATTTGTAGACTTGTTAAAATAACCAGGCACCTCAGGTTGGAGCAAAGAGTTGTTGAGGCTGCCTTTCAAAAACTGGAATTGTTTCTAGACCACACAGCTTCCTCCTGGAGGGTCTTTCAGCTTAATGGGCAGAGAAGTTCTTCAAAGCATCAGGCAACGATGGGTATTGAATACATTCAGCACTTCTTCTTAATGTACTCCGTCGTGCTTCTAAGTCCTGTCTACATCCTTCACCAGAAACAAGTTGGCCAGATGTTTAACCTGGAAAGCTGAATCTCAGTCCTTCAGAGAGACAACGCCTCTGGTTAGACCCTCATGAGCTGATGTGTTGTTTTTTAGAGCCTTGTGCTAGCCGATGCACACAATCCAACACCGTAGAATCGAAGCCATATTTCTCAGATCGACGTTGGTCAGTTCATAAAGGTTCCGGTCTTGAGGTTAGCTGCCTCTCTCTCTCCCTCTCTCTCTCTCATCCACACTTTGCTCTAATGGAGTGCTGAGTAGAGGCCAACTCCTTTCAGGAAGAACTTCTTATTCATCTCCATCTACACGAATGTGACCTCTGCTCTTTCTGACTCACTCCTGCCTTCAATTGTCAGGTGTCTGATGACACCAGGGGAAATTTACTGGACAGAGAAATGGCAAGAGTCCCATGACTCTTGCTTACGGCTTTTTTTACTTTTTCTTTTTTCTTTTTTTGAGCACTAATTAATTCCTAGGAGGTAAAATTCAATTTCATCCAGATGCTATATGATGTAGCACTCATACCAGTCCATTATTCAGTAAGCAGTGAAAGGAGAAAATCAAAGGATGATGATGATGGGACGACAAAGAGTTTGTCACAAGGGGAATAGAAACAAACAAAACCCTTCATCCATTTTCAATTCCCATTTAAGTAAAACCTTTCCGGAAATGACTAACTCTGAGTTTAAATTGTACTTGGATGTCTTAATTTCCAAGTTTCACAACTGAAAAATGAACTAACTTTACCCAAAGCTGTAATTCTGGCGGAAGTTCCTTGCCAACCTAATATGTCTTGCGTGTCTAAAATAGATACACTAAAGTTTTGATTGTCTTAAACAAACGTCTTCACACGTTTGTTGGGCTGTGACTCATATCAGTTATAGCACAACTGCATGTGTCATATCTCTATTCCCCTTCACCATAACTGCCACCTCGGGTAGAATGTGCAAAAAGTCAAATAAATGCATTTAAATTGCAGTTTCATCACCTCACAATAAAAATGTAAGAAAAATACATATAGTCTCTAGTTTTAGTACATTTACGTTTTAGGAAAATATATGAGAATACTGATAATCTAAATTATTGCTGAAATGATTAATTGAATTAATCAAATTAAGCTAATTGATTATTGAAATAATGTTCAATGTTCAAAAGCAATTTGCTGAAAGAACAACACAGAGCAGGAACTAAGCCAAAACTGTACAAGATATATAATATGCATTACCCAGAACTCCTCAGCTGGCATTTATTTTAAAATAAAATAAAAATCTACAATCAAGCACCTTTTCCCATCTATTTATTAATTAAAAAAATAATCAGCAGATTAGTAGACACTATTATTTTAGCTGTTGATGCAACATTTCCAACAAATGATCAAATGCTCATTAAAGGAACAGTATGCTATTTCATTTTAGGCAACCAAAATGTAGTTTTCTCACTCAAAAAAGTAATTGATTTATTTGCATCCAAATCTAAAAGACTCGGACTTCACCACCAAAACCAAATCAGCAGAAAATACCAGTGGACATATCCAAAAAACTGCATAAGCTAAGAAATCCCACTGATGGTAATCAAAGCAAGATTTAAAAATTTTAAAAGTAAAATGAGTAATGTGCTCTTTTTTATGTGTAAGTAATTGAAATACTTTCAGTAACGAGACATTACCTTCTTGATCTAAAATGAGAACACACATTAACGATTCTAGATATGACTGCAAACATGATGCTGCTTGAGACATCATTTTTTTTGTTCATTTTGTGTTTTTGCAGACACGGGTTGATCCAGGGAAGTGGAACATCAGGTCACACTTCGGACTTCCACCCAAGCTCTGCTGAGGCCAGCCATCCAACTTCTAAAAGTCTTCAGACACTGACGATTGGCTCCGGTTTGACTGCTTGTTAATTTAGCACTCCCCCTGGTGTTCATCTGCAGAATGAGCCACTGGCAGAAAGAAGAAGAGCCTTTCAGCTTTGCTGAGTATCTGGATCGACTCCTACAGTGTCAAGAATTTCATTCTCTCTGTATAATTTTGTATAAAGCTAAAGATTTAAATCTTTTCGTCCAACAATCTGCTCTCAGGAGCTGATTTCATTTGGGAGCATAGATGTTTGTACTCAGTTTCTAGCACCACATGAAATCAGTGTTCTGGGAGGCGGACTGCCAGCATGTTGTACGTCACTATACGTCAAAGTCATTTTCATATCAAGATTGTATATCCTCAAATGACTAGTTGTGGAAGAATGTACTGATATAACAAACTGTTATAAAATAGCTGCAGGTGCATTCCATTAGTACTTCTTAAAATTAAATAATATTTAACATTTTTTCACATTTATGTAATTTGGTACTATCTATACAGATAAAAACTGGTTTGATTTAATTGATGAAATAATATTTAAGCACAAAATTGTTATCTTGAAGTTGTATTTATGTGGCTCTCTAGACTTGGGATTAGTGACTTCTTCTCTGACTGGCTTATGTTAGTACAGAACTCATTTTACTGCGGACAATAATAATTTATCAGCTTCTGTCAGCATCATATTTCTTTGGTTAAACACATTCAATTCTGAGATACAGAACCCATTTTCTTCCTGAATGGTATTGCTGAACATTGCCTTTAAGTGTTTTTCTTTCTTTTTTTTCTTTTCAACTACTATATGCCAAGTTTTCAACTCTGATCAAATAACCTTATTTGTGCAGAAAATAAATAAATAAATGTATAATATAGCCCCCTTGAGCTTACGAGTCTAATGTTTGAACAATCGGTAAGGAAAAGCACCCAAAAATAATTGTGGGACCTTCAAAAAATATAATATTTATTAGAACTACTTTAAAATATTACAAGCAGCAAGGTTTGCCCCATAAAAGCGAAAATAAATTAGTAAATGACTAATTTTTGTTAGGGCAATGTAATAATGATAGTTAGAAAAATACCTCAAACATCCACTCCATTAATTTACACATATCAGAAATAATTTCGTTTTATGTAGGACAGACAGTTTCAGTCATTTCTTATCGATTTTTATTCATTCTAGTCGTATCTGACTGATTATCAATATCATCTCGCGACGTTCAATACTGGCTCCTCCCCCTCAGCGGAAGATGGGAGGAGCAAAGCTCTGAGCTTTCTCCTGATTGGTCCATTTCCAATAATCCGCCATATTCAAACTTCCGCCGTCTACTGTGTGTGTTGTCATTGATTCCGTGTTTTCTTTGTATAGATAAAGCAACTTTTCATACACTCGGACTTAGTTTTTTATTATCTACTCATTAATACACATTGGTATAGGATATTTTACAACTAATTGACTCGCAAAATGGAAGAAAACGAGGAAGTTCACGGAAGGACGGTGGGAAACCAGAAGCAGAAACTACGGAGGATTTCGTCGAGGACGTCTACTACGAGTGTCATCAGCGCTGCAGAGCCGTCGCCCCCGCAAAGACTGCGGAGAAACAACTCGAAGAAGTACGTAGCTGCAAAAATAAAACAAATTTAAAAAACAGCTCATCATTTGATAGCACTAAGTAGTAAAATGCGTAGGCAAAAATAGGTTTATTCCGAGATAATAGCCCCACTTCGTCGACTGAGACGGGCAGGGCTGGCATTAACTGGCAAATGATGCCTTCAGGTGCACCTCGTAGATTCCTCTGTTGTGCCACTTAATAACAATAAGTGTTTGTAGAAAAGACTATTGAATAATAAATCATTAATAATGACAATAATTCCTCGTTACAACTTCAGTAATAAAGGTAGAATCAATTTAATTCTCGAATGATTGTTTATTAAGTCATCTTATAAATTCTTAATTATGGGGTTGTTTTGATCAGAAAATATTACAAAATTGCTTATTTTATTTCGAGCAATAGAATTTACTAACATTATTCAGCCCAACTGACTGTCAAATTGTAAAATATATCAAATCTGTCATTATTGAAGATTCTCCTAGTAATTGACAGGGACATTTTTCAAAAATCTTTTTTTTTTTCATTTATTATCTGCATCAAAATGAAAAATTATGTCAGAAATATTTTTTGATGCACTTATTTTAGATTAATGAAATCAGATATAGGTATGGAACATGTTTTGATGCATATGTAGAAATAATTTATTAATCAATTTCTTGTTGAACATAAAATGTTTAGCTGGGTTTTATATCTTATAGTCGATAGGAAATAAAAACAGTTTGAATCAGTGAAAACAAACAGGTCAAAGAAAAGTGTAATAAATATCAGCCTTGTCAGTGTATCTTCAAATAACAGAGTAAATTGAATACATATTTTAACTCTGATCAACAGTTTGATCATTTCTGCAGCTGAACTATTACACTGTAGTAAGTGATAAACTATGTCATGCATTCAAATTGTCTTTGTATTTGTCAACTTTAATAAATGCAAATAGTATAAGGAGTTAGATAAAGAGTTTTCTTCAGCTGGGATTACTGCATTCCAACATCTGCCAAATATTATGCCTACTCATCAATAAAGTGTTTCACAAAGTATGAACTAATTTCAAAATTTTAACAACAATAAAATAGTTGGGGGGGGATAAATAACTAGGGAAAAAAAAAATATATATATATATATATATATATATATATATAAAATAAAATAAAAACATAAAAGTTACACAATAAAAGCAAACATAGTATGCTGAACTAGAGCAAAAAGCGGGTGAATATCTTTATAAAATGTGGTCATGTGATGAGCACAACAAGCATAAGACTGGTCAGTTTGTACAGCTGGCTTTTGACGGCTCCCTCTGAGAGTCATGACACTTTGTAGCTTCACTGTTTGGTCAATATAACGGACCGTTTTTTTTTAGAGCCACAGAGCTGAACGACTCCTTGTAAGGCTTTAAATATTAACATTGTTCAGTCGCCTGACAGCATCTGTCACATTTTAGGCCAAACTTGACAAATCTCAATGGAAAATGTCCTGAAAGTGACATCCTCTCTACTGTAGCTGCAGTAAAGCCCAGGAGAGTTTGAAAATAGGGTGTGTCCCTCTCTGTTCTTGAGATAAATTTGACTTGCCCAATTTATAAGACAGTTTACAAGCTGGGGATGGTGTTCACTTGTTCCCACTGTGAAATGTTTGCAGAACATTTGTGTCTTTTCCTGCAGACCGTCACTGCAGAGAGGCAGCTCTTTCACCTTCCTCACTCCAGGGACGCCTTGGGACTTCAGTCTAGTGAGTTCATGGGACAGTGCCGCTGCTTTTATTTACTAATGCCTTATATGATGAGATTACCAGATAAATGTAAATAGTTATCAATCTATTACATCTTTTTTTTTTGTATCCTTTTAACCCAGAAGTTAATTAGTTGAACTGTTTGTACCAACTATTTCCACTTACAGACAATGGAAAGACGATGAAATTTATTCTGTTTATCTTTAATCCGGTGTCTGAAAATAAACGGTAACCTTTTGTTTTGCTCCTATAGAAGAGAAAGCGCAAAGAAAAGGAGGATGACACCGTCAGCCTCTCCAGCTTTGACCTCAAGGTGAGCGATCGTCCTCTGTATTCGCTGCAGATCTTCTACTGAAAGAATCCATACGGCACATTATAATCCATCTGCGTGACTCAGATCTCACATACAATGAGCTCAGACTTAGCCTGCTAAAACTTTGTACATGAAAACCACTCTAGGGAAAATCTAAAGAGAAAACCTTAAACATGCCATTCCTAGTCGGTCTCTGAGGGCTGTTTCTGCTTCGATATCGCTGCAATCCATACAGTTATTTATTCTACACCACAAAAGACATTCATAGACGGACGCATCTAAATGAGTGGTTAAACTTTTGAAGAGTCTGTATGACATGATGAGTATTGTTCTATCAGGAAAGCGCTATTGAGTCTCTTTCCTGTTTGTGGGGCTGCAGGAACTGCTAGACTTGTCCTGACCTGCATTTTGTTTTCTTTGAGCTGCAAATGGTCTAAAAACATAAAACGAATCTTATTACAAAATCCTGGCCCAGAATTTTACATAAACATATATATATATATATATA